CTCTGTGTTTGTGGTGAGGGTTTACAGAAGCACCATGGGACTAATCTTGGTGTCTGAACAGCTAATCTGTGTGTGGCCTGGTTTAACCATGCCGGGGTGTAGGTTTAAGCCGCTTTACAATGAAACGGTGCTCTTGGTCAAACGGTCAAAACTTGTTGGCGGAACGGACCGGGGCTTTACTCATTTTACATACCCCTTCCCCTCGCAACTCAAACTGGATCAACTCCACCAATGACCCGGCGCAATGAAAACAAACAACACGATGGTGCAGCCGCAGAGAGGTTCATTATTTTCAAATGGAGAAAAACAGAGACTGAAAAGTCTCCTGCAATTCTTCCCTTGGGCAAACACGGCAGAAATAAACTTTTAGCCGTCTCCTCTCGGAACAATCACACGCGTTAGACAGGACGTCGGAGGACAAGGGGCCCCAGGAAACATGGAGGGATTCTGACCGCCTTGTCAGCAGGGGTGGGAGACAACACCAAGATACGCTTCAGCATCCTCGTGTTGTGGGACATTGTTGTCGTCCAAAAGTCCAATAGCGGTTCAGATTGTATAAAAAAGGTGCTGGATATAAATAATTAAAGTATTGTAATATATTGAATTGCAGACCCTGTGTCACGATGTGTCTTTTATCGCCACCTTATGTGCTCCGTAGGATTTGTTAAATAATCCTAAAAAAGAAATACGCAACATTCTAACTTCACTTAAAGGAAGACAGAAAGAAATTGTGTGTAAATATATTGTAAGTGTGGGTGTTTACAGAGCGTGTGTGAAAGTGTGCATTGCCCGCCAAGTCTCTGCAGTGAAAATGGAAGCAGAAGAGAGGAGGACTGATCCTCTGAAGGAATAAATGCTCAAACAACTTGGCACAGGGACCGTCGCCCTTTCTTACCCCATACCTCATTTTTATTTCCCTGCTGCACCACTGCAGCTCATAAACTACGGCGTATCCAGGACCCACTCCAATCATTGGGCCACACCTCTTCACGAGTTCAGAACGTTTGGTGTTTAAGACGACAGATGCAAGGGATGGTGTCACCATCTGCAAAGCGAATAACTCCCTGTTCTGATTAATCCTCACTCTGTAATGATAGAAGCTGGGCCGAGGAATAGAAACAGAGACTGTGGTTTTGGGAGCCACATAAAGGTTGACTGGTAGCAGACGCACACGCTCATGGGAGCACAGAAGCATGGCGTCACAAACCTTTGAGGAAAATTCTGCTCTTCAATAGTCAGTCAATATTTCCGAACAACATTTTTGTGGCACGCTCTGTTGTTCTTAAGAGGATAACTCTTCAGAGTTGTACAAGGGCGGCGCGGAGGCTCAGACCGGAGGACAGAGAGGCTCAGGGTGAGGACGCAGGCGCAGAGAAACATTAATTATTTAACAAACAGCCATTACAGAGTGTGCAAATGGTATTCGGTCTTACGACATAAACCATGTCCGATTGTGTTCAAAGGATCTGCACAGAAACACTGTTCATCACACATATATTCGGTTCAGACAATCAGCATCTCCTTAACTTCCAGGCGGTTTGTCTGGGAGGAGGTGCGGCCACGGCTCCTCCTAGTGGTTATTAGCAGTCACTGGGACCGACTAGCTAGCAAATCATTGCACTCCAGGACATTGTCTCTTAAAGCCGATCAGAATCTCACCTAAAGCTGCTGAAGCGTTTAAACCTGATTATCCCTGGGTATCACTGCGGCGTGACGTTTTTTGGTTGTTGGGGGTTTCAGCACATTGAGTACGCAGGAAAGTGGATTTGTCTCTAATCTAATTTCACCACCGTGATGCAAATCAGCTTTGGTTCTTGGATCCTGCATCCAAGCATCTCCCTTCTCCTCCGGGCAGCTTTAACAGCACTATGCTTTAGGTACGGCCGGCTCTTCATTCACCATCAGCACCAATGCCAAAAGAAAACAAAACAACAGTCCGCTCAGCTGCCCCAATTTCTATAATCCGTTCAGAGTAAAAATAGATCAGCCTATCGCTTTGAGGATTAATAGAAAGAAACGTCATGAGTACCGGTTCTTAACACGATCAATACATCCAGCACGCCACACGTGTTGTATGAGGACATATGAAAGAGAAATTGTTTGTATAACTAACTCAACGAGGCCAATCTTTTTGCAGACGTGCACCACTATGTCAGTGCCATCAGATGGGTCCATAGGATCAACGCACTACAGGGGTTGTGATCTATCAACTCCTGACAAGGCTGGAGGAGGGGAGGGGGGCATCAATGTGTTATATCCTCCGATTCCCTGATACTGCACTTCGACCAACACTTGCAGCCGAGGCGGTCTGCTCCCCGTCTGTCCTTGTTCCCCTCACCGTTTTTCTCACTGGATTGTCTGTCTAGTCGGGCAGAAATGGTCTCGTCTGGAGACGCGGATGCTCAATTAGTGATGAGCCTCGGAGAACTGCTGCACACCCGAGCAGGCGACAGGAGCGGACTCGCCTGCAGACGTTGGGAAAAAAAAAATGTCCCTGTCGCCGAGGAGAGAGACACGAAGGGCAAGAGGCCACTTCATTACGAATAAAAAGAGTCTCTGGTTTAAAGCATACCGATAGAACCTCCAGTGGATTGCAGGTGCACGTGCACGTGCCACTGATACAGGCAGATACACAGAGGCATGAGTTCAACAGACAAAAATGCATTCCTCACAGACTGGCCCCTTTCAATTACATCCCAAGAAGGCATCATTTAGCTTCTATAACGCTACTCTGTTATAAAGTGGTTAAAGCAGGATTGATAAAACCACTTCAAAATGTGTCGCTGGGAACTTTTCAAGGAAAGATTGAGGTCATTCCCCTTACGGGAACACTAATATTTGTTAAAAGGACACAAACACTGATTCAGATCTGTTGTGAAACCAATATTACGTCCGACTGGTTGACTCACAGTAAGTTGCTGTGCTTCCTTTTGCTGCTGTGGCATTTCAACTTCACTACATAGGAACCAATAAAGCTCCACTTCCTCTCGAAAAGATCTGGTCACGCGCCATCATTGTGAAATTCACAGAAAATCAAATCTGGCCCTCTCTGAACCACTTTCGCTCAACACATTTGTAGAGGGACAGAAATGATTCTGCTCAGAGATTTATTCCATGAATTACCGCGGATGACAAGAAATTCAAAGAGCTGCTTGCTTGTATATAAATAACAAACTTGCTCCGTGGCCTCTAAACACGCTCGATTAGCAAAGGAAACCGACCAATGTGGGTATGCAAATTGTGAGTTTAACATTTTACTAACTAAATAATCAAGCACTTCATAAGAAAAATAACGGACGACAAATAATAAGAATAAATGTTAGTGTTAGCCCAAATTAACACACATTCAATCAACCAGAAAGCCTATTCAACAAAGTCCAAATATCACCAACAGAGATGTGCAAGACAATGTTGCATCATCATCACATAAATAGACCAGCAGAAAATAGGCACTTTGATAGTCAGTGGAAGACAAGAGTTCACAGTCCCGGTTCTTTGCTTAAGAGTCTTTGTTCTATTCGTGTGCTTTGAGGAGCAGCAGTCTCTCTGCATCCTGGCTGCTATAAAAAGGCCACTCCAGCCCGGACGTCGGAGGGAACAGACCAGTGCCCGCACCAAGCGGCGCTGCACTTAGTAGGTCTGTCTGTACATGTACTTCCAGCTGAGGATGAAGGTTGCTTTTGAGATGTGCGAGCCAGGAATTGAGTATGTGCTCTGTTCCTGAAAGCTTGCGCTGCGATGTGTCCTTACTCGCTGCGATGGTGTGAAGACGTCTAGTCTGGTACAACCACGGGGGGAGCGAGCGGGAACACGGAAGCATGAGAAACAAAGCAGACTGCAGGAAGACAGCCATGACACGTCCCAAAAAGTTCACACTTAGAAAAGGAGTCTGCGACCAAATCGGGTATAGGACGCAACAAACGCACTTAAGCGAGGTAAAGCTTAAAAACACAGTGAAGGTGCTTTTATGATTGACATGTAACAAAAAACTACAGCAAGAAAAGCCTGAAAATGCATTGACATGATGATCTTATACACCTCACATTTTAGAGATCCAGTCATCAATGTTCTATATACACACACAGATCGGCCACTAATAGAAGGCCTGGAGGAAAGAGACAGATAACCAAGCAGACTTCACTGTTCTCCATGATTAACAGACCAGATAACAGTATCCACGCTCTACTTGGCTATTGCTCTGAGGTAGGACAAACGGTACTGCCACTCCTTTTTTCTTCTTCTTGTATGAATCACAGTACCAACGTTATCCACAGATGACCTCATACATGTACACAAGCCGCTTTAAACCTTTTATGATCCCACGAGCAGAATCATAGAATGACAGAAGGTGACTGAATAATTCACACACATTTCCCAGTGGATCAAAGTGTGCAGCCAGCTCGCTGGATGGGCTGTAACAGCGGACATTGACAGAGGATGTAAGTGAGCATGTATAAGCCACTAGGTATTGTAATGCGAGCCTATGGCGGCTGCTATAGGGAGTTAATGGGGTGGAAACGCTACTTCAAACCACCGGGGGAAAGAGCATCAGACCAAGTATCTCCCACAAACACGCACTGGCGCCTTGGAGAAAAACGTAACTGTCCAACCTCCAGTCATCACCCTCACGTCGAGCAGGAAAATCACTCTTCCTGTTTTAAAAAACAACAACACCCGTTTCTTCTTTGGGGGAACATTAAGTCACATGCAGCACAAAACGCAGCTCACATACTGCAGTTTCTTATGTAAAATCTCAGCAGCTTCTGCGCGGCTGGCCTCCTCTCTATGTGCACAGATAGATGGACAAATGAACACTTGCGTGGTCAAATGGACGAGACAATGAACCGCTGAGGTTAGTTGGCATGGCCATTTCCGCTAACGCGTCGTTGTCAAACTAGCATAGACTCGGCTAGCGAGCGCTAATCAGCAGCACAACTATCAAAGTAAAAAAAAAAAAAGAAGGACTCCATCTAATGTACAGATGTTGTTCTCCGTATTACCTGAATGCAGTGTGAAGACATTGATACTCGGGTCGGGCACGTTGACTGCAGCCGTCCTGCCTGGCGGTGTCCCCGTGCTGCTGCCGGGTTCCCGGGGTCTCCTCCCGGCGGCGCTCCCCCGGTTCCCCTTCGCTTGGTGCGGTTGGGACGCGTGGGGCTGCGGTGGCTGGAGTCCGGTCGATGTGCTCTCACCGACGCGGCCTACCTGCTGCCCCATCCCTGTAGTGTGGTGTAAGGACGACGCGAGCAAACCCCCCCACCCCTTGCGCTCCCCTGGCTCACATTCCCCCCTCCTGCCCGAAAAAACTGGAGCGGCCTGTCCCCAACGGTCTTCCTCAATCCCCTTCTCGCTCTTCTTCACCGAGCTTACGTTAACTAGCACGTATTAGCTCGCGCGGGCTAGCCCGTTAGCCGCTATCGGCGAAACCCACCCACTCTTATCTGCCTTCGGCGGTAAAATCTCCACCGTGGCACGTGACAGCGTTCGTCTGTATGCCGGTGATCCGGGTGGTGTCCCGGCTGAGAGTAACGGCACCTGGCGAGCGAGACTCGGTCCAACCCGGAGCTTCTTTTTTTTTCTTCAGGATCGCTCAGCCGTTGTTCGGCCGCTGCGCGCCCCCTCTGACGCCGCCATTTTTACCGCAGAATGGAAGATGTGTTGCACAAGGCGGGGGGTGGGGTGGGGGGGGGGGGTTCTCCGCGATCCCCTGTCACCGCGATCCTCCACCTCTCAGCACCGACACCGCTCGTGTCCCAACAATTCTCCAGCACCCCGCGAGGAGAGGTGGGGGCCAGGTTCTGATTCCCCCCGTCCTTGAGAAAACCACTAAGACCGTTAGCATTGTTTTATCCATGACAGCGTTGAGGTAAAATAATCACTGCTTCCAAAGACAGTTTGAAACGATCTGGACTATTAGAACTGTGGACAACGTGGCTGGTATCGGCATGTCAATATCTGAATCATATGTTTTGATTAATAATTAGTCAATGATAACTCGGCAGATATCAGATAGGAATCCGTTTATCAGTACTATGGACTAATCATATATCACTAGCACACATATTTCAATACTGTATAAACTTGTGTAACTCGTGTATTATATCAAATTACTTGCACTTATTAACATTATTTAATAACTCATTGACAAATGATCCATTTTATATACATTTATTGTACTAGAAAAAACATTCATGAAGGTGGATGTAAAAAAAAGGGCTTAAAAGGGAACATACTATATTTTTATTTATACTTTGGTCTTAAGAATTAAGAATGTCTCGGACAGCAATCGGGTTCACCTCAGGAGACGGAACGTACTCATTCATAACACACTGACTTGACAATGACCTATTCAAGACCAGGAGAAAAAAAGTCACAATGAACACAAAGATCACAGACGCAAGCAGAAGCTCCACCTCCTGAAATAAACAGTTTGAATAAACGCATCTACAGGGCGTCTCTTTTAACTGCTATAAATTGTATCCTCATTACCAAAATCATGCAGGCGTAAAGCAAAATGATTTATTCAAATGGAGAAAACTCAACAGTTCCTTGTGAGAAAGTACAACAGGGCATTCCAACATTTATTTATTTCTTTGCATATTGAACAAATACGTTGCTGCTACTTGTTTGTTTGATATAAAATGTGTAAGAAACTAAATTACTCCTGAAGCCAATTCACAACCTCATCCGAGCAGCGGAAGAATCCAAAGTAAAAGCCTTGAATACGGGGCCACCTTGTGGCAATGAAGTGTTTTCATTGCTGATTCCGGGTAACTTTGATATACACGACCAGTCTCAAAATGACAGGAATTAAAAGCACTGACATGCAGCTTTCCATTCGTTTGAAAGAAATCTTACTGTCCTTTTAAATGTTTATGATACAAACATCCCAACACTGATTTCACATACGTAATATCGGACAAAGCAATCTGTTGGCCCGAGTGCAAGTCAAGTATCATTACTATTTCAAATCGTAACATTTATAGGTACATTATTCTTCAGATAGCCTTTCATTTTTAATGACCAGACCCAAACACAGTTTAACAGGAAACATTTTATCCATGACAGATTTATTTTGTAGGCTCAGTATTTTTTTTATTTCTATACTTCCATTATATAAATATATAAATGTCAAAAGCAACTTCCAACTTCCTAATTTTCCTTATCAGAGATGTTAACGGTAAACTTCAGGCATTAATACAGACAGTTTCTCATACATTTATACAAAATATTCTTCTATATAAATCTTATAGGCAGTACAAATAAATAACATTGAAAGGCTTTTCCAAACAGTCTGAACTTGTATTAGCAAACTTTGTTAAATATTAACTATTACTGCATGTGATGTCTGTATAGTGTATTTGTTTGTATCCCACTGCCACGACATTATATTGGCACAAGGTTTCACAGTTGAACAAAGCGGAAGTAATGGGAGTACATCTGAAAAATAATGAAATACAAATACAATTGTTAACAAGTGGATTTGTAATTTTGTAGGTTGTGCTTTCAAAAACAAAAGAATACAAGTCATTATGTTAAAGTAAAGAAACATTTGGCACTGATACTTATTGGATCTCTTCCATACATTCTTACATAGACTTGGTCACCTTAGTGCAATAAAAAAAAAAAAACGAACTAGAAATATTGGAAAGTTCAACAGAAACAGAAAGGCTGATCAGAATTGTATTGTGATGAGTGATGATCCTCAGCAGTGGATCACAGCTCCGAGTCCTCCGTCTGACCTCTCTGACAGCTCCAGGAGCGAGGCTTCAGTAACTCCAGCAATGACGGCTGAAAAATATTTGTAAATTTGTGTTCATGCTTCAGGTTGGAAAAACAAAAGACAAACTTTCATCAGAACTACTGCACACAAAGCATCGCTGCAGGCGTTACCTCCTTCAGGGGGCAGTAGTGCCGGGCGTACCACTCCTGAGAGTACAGACAGATAATGACTCCCTGGCCCAGGAAGAGGGAGGTCCACATGATTATGTTCCAGATAGGACCTTTTCTTTGGTCGTGCAGAATGAAGTTAAACATCACTTTGAGAGGGTGAAAAATGAAGATGAGAACAAGAGCAGGATGATTAAACACATTAAATGCATCACAGAAAATAATAAGTTTCAGCCGAGAGAGTTTAGGTTGTCTCTTACTTCCAAAGCACATAAAGAGGCAGAAGAGGACGGGATAGAAGAAACCAAAGCAGATCGCGAGGATGTACTCGTGGACAACAGCAGACAGCGTAAACACAAACAGCATGGCTACTGGTCTGAAGCGCTTCCGAGATAGCTGCAAGGACGAGAAGAGGAAAGTCATTACAAAATACTCAATATACCCCTACGAGCCTGACCAACAACAGAATGCAGCCGGTGTTGTTTTGAAATGTAATGAATTACAGCAATAGCAAAACCACTCACCCACAGGAAGTCACGGTAGACGTAGTAGTAGAGCCAGTTATGAACCACTACATTCCAAGTACGATAGTAATTCGCAAAAGAGGTCGAGTTCCACCAATCCTGTGATGTCAAATCAAAAATCAAGGATTATGTACAACATGCAATCTTGATTAATATTTTGCTGTGGCCGGCGGCGACAGAAGGAGTACCTTGTAAAACATCCGGTCTGCAAATTGCAGCATCTCACCAAACGCATTAAGCCAACAGTGGAGGAAGGAAAAGAATCCCAGGAAGAGAATCAACACTCCTGCAAAAGAAAGAAAAAACGCACAAATGTTGCTTGGTTGAGACAAGAGTCTGGGGTGAGTGAAAGGGTTTTTGTGGTGGGGGGGGGGAAAGGTCTTACCTGGCAAGATGGAGTTAAACACACAGAGGACCATGGCCCTCCGGTCAAAGAGCTGCAGACTGATGCTGCGGAACTGAGGGATGCACAGCCGCACAAACACGTAATAGACATAAAACATACAGCCCAGTACCTGTTGGGTGGGAATGGATGAAACGGTGAGAAGAAATTCACCCTATATGTTGGGTTAGCAATTTTAAGTAAAATATAGTCCTAAAATATGAAGGAGCTTGGCACCTGAAGAAACTTTGTGGCTACGTAGCTCCACCTGATCACTGGGTTCCTGCATTAAGGGAGACACACGGTTTGACCAAACACACAATCTACTGCAAGGAAAAAAGACACAAACAGTGACAGGGACTTGGGGGTACCTGGGGTACTTGTCTCTGTAGATGAGTGTAGGTGCAAACAGAAAGTAGATGTACTGAGAGACCTGAGGGAACTCTGGGCGGGGATCTAGAGGTGAAAGGAGAAGCAGCTGATCAACAGCAGGAAAAACAGGAAACACAGCAGCTACGAGGAAGCAAATAACTGCACGTTGATATACAGGAAATAATAAAAGGAACGCGACATACTGGTCTTTTCTTCAGCCCAGGTCAGGACTCTTGGTACATTCTCCCTGACGAAGGAGTGGGCTTTCATCATTAGACGCACCTGGGATTAGACAAATGACAAAAATTTGAGGCAAATTATTGCAATATTTCAAAAAGGTGTTACAAGAGATTTACTCAAGTCAGGAAATACCACTGTAACCTCCCTCTTCCCTTAAATACACACATGACACTTTAAAGCAGACGTGTTTTAACATGCTTCTAATTTAATTTTATCCTATTCTACTGTACATTTAAAAAAAATGATGCATTATACTATTTTACTGGCTTAATTATTATTCATGATGCAGAAATCCCTGGGCTAAATTCTTTGCATGTGCAAACTGTTGGACCGCAACCAGTTATCTACCTGTTCCAGGATGATGATGAAGCAGGATGCGGGCGGGAGGCTGTTGGTCACCACCACGTACGTAGGCAGGAATCCCACTCCCACAGCTTGGTAGAGGAGGAACACAGAGCCAAACAGCAAGCTGCACAACCCGGGGTGAGAGGAAGACCCACACTGGGTCTGCACCCACAGGTGGAAGAGGGAGTAGGGGACCAGCAACACAGACAGGAACATGCAGATCCACGTGCACAACACCAGCGGGAACTGTCCAAACGCATAGACCAGCAGGTCAAAGTGCAGCACCGGTCTGAGGGGGAAAAGAAATAAAAAGTAGAGAGGAGAAACTCTAAAGGTTCTTCAAGACAGATCATCTGACAAAGATACAATGTGGCAGCAATTTAAGTAAGTCATAACCAACAAAAGCTTAATAAAATCATAAAAAAGGCATCAGCCGCCTTCTACATTACCTGCCTTCATCGATGAAATCTACCACCAGTGTACTGAGGATGAGGAGAATGAGCAGGGCAATAAACATGTGGTAGATCGTCCTGATGTGGTTCACCTCCAACAGCTCGCTGCAGAAACACAGAAGAGATTAGAATCGGAACATCGACACGCATGTCGAGAAATGTTGTTAAAAAGCAGCAGCTATCCAAATAAAGTGCACCGTAAAAAAAACAATGTTTCAATAATTAGCCTTTTTTTCCAGATCAGTGTTTCCTCTTACTCTAAGAGGGACCTGCGACTGACAAAGTGCTTCCCCTCGCCATGGGGAGGCCGGAAATTCCTAGAAAAAAAAATAAAAGGGACATTGATGATCAGCAAATCTATTTTCCCTGGAGAGAAAGTGTGCTTCTGAGAGAAATGGAAATAGTTCGGATGGACCACACGTCGGGTTTTTGGTGCAAATTGACTTTAAAAATGGCTGGCGGGAGTTGCAAAGCGGCACCTGAGTTTTCCCCGCTCCTTGTCCGACAGCGGCGGTGAGAAGACAGCGGGTACCGGTGCCGGCTCCAGGATGGCCGACTCCTCAATAAGACTGTCCATGAAGTCATTGACCTGACTGCCCAACTGATGCATCAGGTCAGTCTTCAGGAACTGGACAACAGAGCAAAAGACGCAGTACGAGTTGACAAGTGGGGAATATTTTGTGCTAAAATGTGAGAGGAGTTACAGTTGCGTTGCTTTTCCACATTGCTCAGGTGAGAAGAGACACACAGCAGTTTGAAAAAAAAATGAATAAATCTGATTCCAATAAAGGACGTATATATGTTTGACTGTTTAAACATTCTTAGGAGAGAAAAATGTGATTCTATGATTCTGCTCATAGATCGAAAGAGGCTTAAAATCTGGTACGGATGGACTCAACCAATTTCTATCAAAGTGCAACAATCCATTAAATCATAACTACTGAGCGCTACTGAGCGCTAAAAGACTCTTATTGAATGTACTGTATGAATGCTTTATTTCTTTTACCGTAGCAGCGTGTCATTGCAAAGTAAAATATTGATTACGTTCTGGTTGACGAAATACACATAAGGTATTGGACTCGCATTGGGGGAAACAGTAAATCACATTCTTAGAGTCCAATTCCAACATGCACGTTTGGCATTTTCAAAACCTAATTTACTGACTTACTCACCTCTGCTTTTCTTTTCAGTTGAAGCTTTTTGCTGATCACCTGCTCCACTTCAATTTTTCCTAAAAAATGTAAACGAGAAAACACACTTCAGCCAAATCACGACAAATTATCTGATGTAAATGATCCATTCACACCAATAAAATCTGTTTTCAGTATCGAATGGAGACAAATATAAAACCTATTTGAAAAGTGATGATTGGGTTGCCTATAGTCGGGAAATGTTCATTTCGTTCGTAGTGTTGTAAAAGTGCATGAGACTGGGAAATAGCAGAAGTCAAATGACTATGGATCCAATATTGCAAAATGCCAAAATGAGACACAACTATGACATCAATCTGATTGCAGGGGTAAAGGTTACTATAAGTTATTTAACTGGACAGGGTCTGATGACAAACAAGTTGGGAGACTTATTGAAGTCTATCACACAGAAGGAGACAAGCAGCAGAAGCACCGCATCCATCTCCCAACTACAGAATAGCAGAGTCACTTGATTATGAAAACTTTTGTCAACCCTCCAAAATATTTTAGGTGATCATAATTAAAAAGTTAAATTCTTCTAAAGACCATGCCTTCTTTCACAGGCCACATCCTATTGCACCTTCAGTGACTAAAATAAATACAATCAAATAAACGATCATTCATGTTTCAAATATGAGTTTTCTTTCTACCATTGCTGGTAATGTGCTCCCCGCCATTGCCTCGGTGCTGTCCCGGATTACATTCCCCATTCGAAGATCCATCCGACGCCAAATCTGGGGAGGGGGTCCTCCTCGGGGGGGCTCGGCAGCGGAGGACTCCGTCATCTTCACTCTCCATCCTGAAGAAAAACACGCAACTCAACTTTTAGAGAAGAGGAGAAAAGAAACAAACGACGCCGCCGCGAGGCTGCGAATGCAAAAAGTATGCGGACAAACAGACAAACAAACAAACGCGAACCGAGCTAACGGAATCACCCTCACATGACAGCGACGCGCGGCTAACGCGTTAGCTCCCATCAGCCGTTAGCCGGAGAGTCCGTGTGACGGGCGGCTACCGAGCCGACACGCAGGCAGACACCCGGTTTAACGGTAACGTTCCCCTCACCGCGGAGCCCCTCCGAATGGTCGCGATACCGAGGCGCTCGTGACAATATCACACTTGTTGACGTCCGTCGTTAGCGGTGGAACAGGTTGCCGGAAAAACGTTAAAAAAGGGGGATATGAAAATGTTTTCCGCCGACTTACTGGTTGCGCGGTTTACGCTCTCGGGGAAGTAAGTCGACCTCCGACGGATGCCGAGTCCAAAAAGTCCTTCAGTCACAACAGTCCGGGCTGCTGCTGTTGCTGCTCACCTTCCCCATTGAACACTCGAGAGGAGGTGATGGGCGGGGCAGTAGACGCTGATTGGTCTAAAGTCTCTCCTCCTGCTGACGTCACCGACGCCCACAATGTTGAGGCCTCGCCGACATAACTCATGACTAATTGAAAAAACGATACTAATACAGTATTCCCCCATTGACTGTGTGCTGTGTACATGATTCACAGTGTTTGTTGGACTATGACATTCATACTGGTTTATTGTGTGGTCGTTTAGCCAACAATTTATTAATTTTACTGGGATAGAAGCCTGTTAATGAACAGAAACATGGAATTGTATTCAATAGTTATAGTAATAAAAATATAAAATGTGTAGTCACAGTCACTGGAAATGATAAAGGCCTTCAAACTATATTTGAAATACAGCGACCTTCCTCCACACGGTTGAAATTGATCCAAATACCCCAGTAGTGTGGAAATTGTCTGATAGTCCCAGATTTTAGAATTATAATGTAGAAGCCTCTTCCTCAAATTCATAAAAAAAGATGAGTAATTACTGACTGACTTACTGATTAAAAATCAATTCTGAACAACAAGTAAGTAAAGCGCAACGTGTCATAAATCATGACCTGGTCTTATGAGCCGAGTGTGGCCAATACAATTAGACAAAAAGACACAGGGATACATTTATAAAAAATAATTACCAACTGCATCATCTGATGTATTGATGTATTTCTCCTGCGTATGAAAGTATAACTGCAGATTTCTTTTCAGGCGTGTTTGTACAGATTAAATGACTAAAAGGGACTTTGAGTGAATTTATGAGGTGGGTTTGGGGGAGGTCTCATTATGCATGTGGCTTCGCTGAAGGCCATGTCTTGTCACAACAATGTCCCAATGATGCGTTGTGACAGTTGTACACAGGTTAGATAGACATAAGAAATATATTTTTGAAATGTTCCTGCATTGAGCATATTGAGAGGGAACGTATGTTTCTGAACACCCTTGAACTTGAACGCTTCCAAACCCATCCTCTCAACTGTTTACAAATGGTGTTTTGCATCAAAACATGACAGCCTGGCATAAGTGGCAAACTTTTATTTAGTTGGCGTAAGATCTCAAAATACATACACAATAAAAAATCACAGAGGAAAAATGTCACAAGGACATATTCATCTTGAATTGAGCGTCTACTCTATGGTGCAGGAATACAATATATGGAAATATCTCGGTTTCCTATCACATGTTCCAAGTCACAATGTAATTTTGATAGTGTTGCATATCTTTCCCTGTGAGGATGATTGAGACACAGATTCTCTGCGTTGTAGCATTAAAAAAAACTTTTTGTAAATACCATACAAACAAACAAAATTGTTTGGTACATAAAACATTATTTATATAAATGCTTCACATGAAAAAATCTAGACAATTCAATAAATATACCCTAAAAACAGTAAAGTCAAAACCAAATAAAGCCTGACAAAGTTGAAATACGTTGACATAATGAATCCCTGCTTCCTACATAAAAGAGATATTTACAGTTCATTGTGCAGGCACAAAACCAAACGAGCACACGCGCTGCTCAGAGGTCACAAGAAGCAGAGGGGTCCCAAAACAACGATGAACTCAGAGACAAGAGGAGATAACGACCTCATCTCGACACCAAGATCTCTGACAGGAAGTAACTCCATATCCCCTCGATGTAGCTCCGTGCTCCCCCGAACCATCACAACCACCTCCACCTGCAAAATGTTCAGACAGAAGAACATTTCCTGTGAATATTATATCACTAATGCTAGTTCCTGTTATTTCAATACATCTCAAATACAATTCTTTCTCTGTGTAGTTTAAAAAATAATAATACACACTTAAATGCCTCTTCTCTTCTTCTTAAATGGCTCAAAGAAATGGTGTTTTGAAATAAAAAAATATTATGTTATATATTATTATATTATGTGTCCTACCTCACATCCTTTTCTGGACACCGAGGTAATGTTGGAAAAGATTTTTTCGCCAGAGTCTCCCAGGATCTGAATAATCCTGTTGGCTGAATTAGTTTTTCCAGCACTACTGGAGAGGTTCGCTGCACAGCTGACAGTCATGCGCTGGAAAGATGTGTGGCTGTGTAACCGCAGAAACCTCAGCTGGACGACTTCCACACCAGCGTAATCAAACTATCAGAGAGAAAAATAAATGGTCTGAGGAAATGGCTCACTAACATCAGAAGCATTAAATGCTCCTCAAGCGATACAACAGCGTTACCTTGTTTCCACCGTGCTGCTGACTGAACCACTGGAAAGAAATGTTTGATTTCTTCTTTTCTAGTTCCCGACTGAATTTAATCTGAGAGAATAGAACATTGGCAATTTTAATCAATTCCTTCTTATATTTTATTGTGTATTAAAATGATTCCAAAAGGAGCTTTTCATTTTCATTATTGTATATTAATTCCAACAAATTATATGTGATGGAATATCTATTACAATGGCAAACATCTTATCATATTTTTAACACAATCCCATCCAAACAGCATGTTTAATGGTATGTTGTATAACTAGAAAGTGAGCCCCTCCTCTCATGGCCCTAAAGCCGCTATAATGTTGACCCTGGCAGGTGAAAATAAATGTACCTGAGACTGTAAAGGGTCAATGCAGGTTGTTCCTCCTGCTGTGAAGTTACAGAACACCTTCACAGCATCCAAGGGACAGCCTTGGTTGGGGTCCATGTAAAAATAGCCTGAAAGACAGTCGAATGAAGCCGTCTAATTTGCGATACAGAGATTATCTACACAAGCAGATTTACATATGAACCTTTTCAGACCCTCACCATCATCCAGATGTGGGTGGATGAGTCCCAGCTCGTAGCAGGTGGTGGCGGGATCCTCTTTGGTTCCCTGAGGCCGGCTGAGCGTTTCCTCGTCAACTTCGGACCATCTCCTGGACACCGGCCTGGGCTGCGACAGAGGAATCCATCATTCAGTCATTCAACCGGATAAAAGGAATAATCTGAGATACGTGAGAGGAAAGCTTGTGCAGACCTTTTGTCGTCCTCTTTGCTGCAGGAGGCCGGGTGGCACATTTTCCAGTTTTGATCTTGTACCGGGTCTGGTTTTGGGCCTCAGCATGTTTTCCTGACCGGGTTTTGGCTCAGGCTTTGATGGCTGGCTTTGTTTAGGCCGGCGCTCACCAGATGGACCTGGTTCCCCCTGTTGAAGAGCATGGTACAAATCTCATGGCGAATGAGCAGTGTTCACACCCATTGTCATTTCTTTTTACAATGAACTATATAAATCAGGTAAAATATTCATTTTTTTCATTTGTTTACTTATATTGCCGGTGTAACATGACTTACTGGAGGTCCACGCTCGCCCTTTACTCCCTTTGTTCCTCTCATGCCTTGGACACCTTTCACTCCCTGAGAAGGCCCAAACTCAGTCACAGGCTGCTGATCTTTTCAATTGAACAGAATTTTTAGCATTTAACAAAAAGTCATGTACGGTCATGAACAAAAACAGCCTCTAACCTTCTTTCCGAGCTGGCCCTGTAACAGAGACAGAACATAAAAGGCTTCAATGAAACGTTTCAGTCATTATTTTAGTTATAATATCAAACGTACGGTAGGTCCAAGGAAGCCTTTTTTCCCAGGTGGACCAGGAGGACCCGCATCCCCCTAGACAATTAATCAGAAGTTGATTAATAACTTTACCACCTGCAAAAAAACAATGTGGAAGAAAATTAAAACACAACTTACCTGCTTTCCTTTATAACCACTTTGACCTTTCGGACTCTGCAAACCCGGATTTCCCTAAGACAAAAGTTGGAATTGTCAATGAAGCACAATCTAAATCGTTTCATATTTAAAAGCAGTTCAACCTACCTTTAGCCCAGGTGGCCCAATTGTTCCCAGCATTCCCATGTCGCCTGTGAGGCCCTATAGGTGAAGAGAAGAAGGGCGGGAATGATTTAAAAAAAGTCTTCTGACACAACATTTAAACCATTCAAGCAATGGGATTCTGAATTTATGGAAGGGGTTTGGAACCGATCTAAATCTTGAATGGGTTCTTCACTGGCTCATGCAACAACCTTCCATCACTCACAGACGAGGACGAAGCAATGTGAAAATCTGCCAGATGGATGAAGCACTCCTCTCCAAATCTTTTTTTTTTTGCAGTGAAAAACCTGATCCCGGTGAGGAGAGAGGTGCAGTTTCTGACTTTTACCTTCGGACCGGTGGCTGCCGACTCGCCCTTCTCCCCTCTCAGTCCTGGAATACCCTGTATCACCACCGGCGATGAGACGTTTATGTATGTTATGGTAAGAGGTACTCTGTTTAGAAATTTCAGTGATCTTATTATTATACTGAACACACGTTTACCTTCGGCCCCATCGGTCCAGGCGGTCCGTGTTTTCCTTTTGGTCCAGCTTGGCCCTGAGAGGCACAATGGGACATGATGCTTAATCGCAGCACAGTGAACTAGATTAATAAAACGTATACACGTCCGAACACAGTGAACAAACTGTACATATCATTCTGAGTATTATCTTAAATCAAAATAAAAAACATAGTATAGCACCTTGAACCCTGGTTTTCCATTGTTTCCCCTGATCCCAGGAGATCCAGCTTTTCCCTACAAAAACACATGTTTTAAATGTATTTATCATTCTAAATCTGTAGGCCAAACTAGAACACATATTTATGAGAAGGGCAGCATCCCAATGGTTTTATGCTACAGGTCTACACAATATTCATGTTTGTTTTAGAGCTCACCATTTTGCCAGGCCTGCCGGAAGGTGCAGGAGGTCCTCGGAAACCTATATCACCCTTTGGGATGAGCAGGGGTGGAACTGGATTTAGTTAAAAAGTTGAACGGCAGACTAAATTGTATAATGCAACATTTTCACTTACCGGATCTCCTTCATTTCCCTCAACCCCGAGTAACCCGTCCAAACCGCTCAAGCCCTGATAACGAGATCACAAGACCAGGAACTAATTGTCAACGGATTTCTCACTGTTAACCTTTTGTGCGTTCATCGTGACAGCTTATCAGCGTAACCTTTGCATGTTATTTTAATCGTATTACTTGGAATGAGCGGCGATTTCAGAAAGCTGTAATGGATTTTGTTAATACAATGACAAACTCAATCGGTGAAAAGGAATACTTGCAGGTTTCCCAGGTCGTCCAGCAGGTCCTGGTCTACCAGGCAGGCCGTCATCGCCCTACACAAGCCACTTCATTAGACCAGATCAAAGTAATGCCCGTGATCAGGGCGTTCACATGAAGTGACGGGAAGTGTACTTCTTACAAAGTATGAATAAAATGGTGTAAATTAAAACAAAAGTTTTGAATTCCAGGTTGAAATAAAACTTGCAGTTTTTCCAGGAGCTCCTTTGTTTCCATTCCTTCCAGAATTGGCTCTTTTACCCTTTATGAAGATACAACAATCAATGTGAAGATTTGTCTCCATTTTATAGTTTTCATCTGAGATGAGCGGTGGCTTCCTTTTACCTTTGGCCCGTCAATTCCTTTTAATCCTGGAGGCCCGGGAGGACCAGCGTGCCCAGGTAGACCTTTGGCCCCGGGAATGCCAATGAACCCCATCTTGCCCACTCTCCCCTAAACATAGTCACACACATAATAATACCATAACATAACCTCTATTTACCGAAGCTAATAGCTGATACAATATCAAATCGCTCAGTAACATTGAAACCAATCCCTTCAGTTTAAAATGTGCTTTCCTACCCCTGATCCTCTTGTCCCGTCGTCTCCTTTTGCTCCCTTTTGACCTTGAATGCCCTGGGGATTACAAATGGAGACAGCGCGTCACTATGGTTACATCTTTGTGTAAATTGGGTATGGTGACCGGATTTATGAGGCAATAAAGTAATACGTAATGACATCCGACCATGTCTCCTGCGATGCCTTGAAGGCCGAGCTTGCCCGTCTCACCGTGAATGCCCTGAGTTGCAAAAATACAGATCGGAGACAGCATGGAATCAAGATGAACGGATCACACTTGCTGCACTGAAGCATTTTGGTGCATCAGAAAGAATAAATCACTCATTACACCTTCGGTCCAGTGATTCCAGTTTTGCCCTCAACGCCTCTCGTGCCCGGCAATCCCTGAAAAGACGTAAAAGGAAGTAAGTAAGTCAAATTATTGATACAAGATCAGGCAATTATGTTGTGTCATATTTGTTTTGTATGGCAACCAAACTATGAAAAGCAGTTTTATGTATACAATCTTAATTTATACGACCATGTATTTGAGACTGAAGTGTCTCTAAATGGAAGGAGACACTGCTTCTGCTGTCACCTAGTGGTTAAATATTCATGGTGCATGCTTAGTTACAAATATAGCTGGCCTGAATGCAAAGGATGAAACTTTCAGCACATTAAAGCTTGTGTTGTTCTGCCATGATAATTGTGGAGTTTTTAAAAATATTACGTGATAAATATGTTCATGCCAATGACACATACCGGTGTTGATGTCCCAATTTGTCCAGCGGGACCTAAACTGCCAGGAAGGCCCTGGAATGAGAAAGCGTTAAACTTGTTAAACACTGTTTTTTATTGTAACAATAGAATATAGAGCCTCTCTTAAATTACATTATCCTGATTACAACGTCATCGTACAGAAATTTGGTCAAAGAATCTGTTACTGACAGTGTGCCCCTGGGACCCCTTGTGGCCTTTGATCCCTTCGGCCCCGGTGTTGCCCCCTGGCCCAAATGGTCCAGGCATACCTGATGAACCTCTGGTACCCGGTTCACCCTGTGAAAGCATCAAATGTGTGTCGTCATTGCACACTTTGGACTCTAACCAACGCTTCGTGCATTCATTTTACCCACAACACTTCCGACAACGAAAATGACTGACCTTGAGGCCAGGAACTCCTTGTTTCCCCCTCTCCCCCGGTGAACCATCGTATCCCTGCAAAATACAAGAGGCAGAGCAAACAGGACACTTTATGCTTTTTTAATTGAAACTTTAAAAATATTCAGACATCAGGGGCTGCCGGACATTTGGATTTAGAAGAAACAGACGAGATGCAAAGTACTGTGATGATATTGTGGAAAACTGCTGCAGAAATGCAGTCCTGTCAACCTGTCTGCCTGGTGGCCCCTTTGCACCCTGTGGCCCTTGGTTGCCTCTGTCGCCTTCAGCTCCCTTTGACCCTTTCTGTCCAGGAGTCCCAGTGTTTCCCTTTGCACCCTGAAATGTAAGTTAATACATTTACGTCCTATTCTGTATCCAGGGTGTGTCTTAATCGCTGCAATCGGGACCCTATGAAATCTAAAGAGAAACATGCCGGCACAATAACCTGCTCCCCCAAAAGAGGTTATTGAATAAAGTCTAGTATTATGCATATTTGGTGGCAAAATATCCAGCTCAAGTGACCTTTTATGGAATATATGTAAAATTGTATGCCGCATTTTAAAATGATTTTGTTCCTGCGCTTTGTTTGTAATGGCCATTGAGAATTTGTTGTAAAAATAAATACTCACAGATGGGCCTTTTTGTCCAGATGACCCCTCAGGTCCCCGTAGACCAATTGGACCCTAAACACAAAACAACTGGGTTACTTGTACACACAATGAAGCATAACATAAGGCTCTGTCAAACCTGCAGACTGCTTAAGCCTGAAGTCCTGTGTTTTAGACGTTTGAGTGTTTTTGCATTCAGTTAAATCAGAAAGGATATCAGCACAGTCTAATCAATCTACCTCCTCACCATCGAGACCAGCAACTCTCTCCTGCCCCAAAGCTCCTCTGGATCCCTGAGAAGGCGACGGAAACAACCCAATGATGAATCATTGAACTGAAATGGTTACACAGACCCGCTCCCTCACTATACACTTTATACTTGTACACCGTATTAGTGAAGCACGTTCCGTGAAGCTCCGTAAAATAAATAGCTTTACCTTATCTCCTTTGACACCAGCTGATCCAGTTGGTCCCCGAGATCCGTCTTTACCCTAAATATGGAGTAGTAGAAAACTGCACAAAAAAGTCCAAATATGTTTCAAATTTGACCGTTTTCTAAGCTATTTCAGTAACACATGGCCGACATTTTGACTTATCAAACAAAAATGTAACAAAAGCGAGTCTGGACCAGGGCCGTACACGCTACCTTTACTTGCTATGTTGGTCAACAAGACAGGGAGACGGAGAACTTGAAATTTGTAATGAGCTCTTCAGGACACTCGCGCACGGCATGGCGTTTATGCTTGACAACTAAAATAAACTTACTGGGTAACCTGTAACTCCAGGCGGGCCGACTGGACCTACTGGCCCCTGGTCACCTGAAAGGCCACGGGGCCCGGCATCGCCCCATGGTCCAATATTACCCTGAATACCCTGGAGAAAAAACAGGTCATCTCAGGTTTTATTTAGGAACATAATTGACAACGTCCCAATTGGCTTTACAAACGCACAGTTGGATATGGTTCCCCCCCAAAAAAGCTTTCTGGGTGAAAAAAACAAAAACCCTTAAATGTAAAAAAGATCATCTTGTCACGTAAGCTTGATGTTAGAAAGTGAAGGACTGGATGGATGCATATATAAATAGACGGATGGATGCATATATAAATAGACGGATGGATGGATGGATGGATGGATGGATGTATAGAGGGATGGATGGATATAGAGATGGGTGGATGGATATATAGATGGATGGATGGATATAGAAATGGGTGGATGGATATAGAGATGGATGGATGTATAGATAGATACATCCAGATACATACATCAGTATGTATGTATAGATGGATGGATGGATATAGAGATGGATGGATGAATGTGTAGAAATCCTCTTACAGGAGATCCCCTGTATCCCCTTGGTCCAGGCATGCCCATCTCACCCTGAGCACAAACAAAAAGTTATTGCTTTGACATAAACACGTATTAGTAATTAGATATAGTGGCAGTCGTAGCCTATAAACTGGATCAGTGAAACAAATAAAAGGAATTAGATCACTTACTGGGCGGCCTTGTTTTCCCTTTGGTCCCATCTCACCTCTCTTGCCCTTAACAACAGATATAACGAGGTGAACGGGCCATTAAATGTATACCATGAGCGAGTTAATAAGGGAACATATTTGTCCAATGCGACAGAATGACACAGTTTGTGTTACTAATGTGTATTTTGATTAAAATGCATGCGTTAACAAACACGAAGATTCTAACTTATAAATACCTCTATGCCCTCACTTCCAGGAAACCCTCTGGATCCTTCTTTACCTTTAACCCCCTGAAGAAGAGATGCCATTAATCTCGACATCATCACAGTGGATGCATTACACATTGAACTATGGCACTTCGAGGTATTTTTATCGTAGATGTTTCCAATAAATTGCACTGTGTCATGTTATAACTCACTCTCTCCCCTGGCTTTCCTGGTGTTCCCTTCATCCCTCTGCTGCCAGCTTCTCCCTGTGGATTGACACAAACACCTTTATGAATCAACTTATTATGTTAGCGCCACACACATTTTTGATTTAAAATGCTCAACCTACGGGGATATTGCATGGATACGTAACTAAACATCAATAAAAAAGTAGCTGTAGAGCAACTTATCCAATTTACGATCCTCTTTTAGATCCAGTTTTATTTCATTAAATAGGAGATTAAAAAAAGGAAACAAAGGTGATCACTACTCACACTCTTCCCCACAGGTCCTTGGAGGCCGAGAGCTCCTGTCTTCCCCAGTAAACCCTGTTAAAAACATTTAGGAGACCATCAGCTATCCATTGACAACACAGTAAAGTGAGCAAGTTTACTCCTTCTGTGTTAATTATAGAAAGTAAACTCACTTTCACTCCTCCGGGTCCAGTGTCCCCATTCATTCCATTGTAACCAATTGGTCCCTAACAGAAATCCGACATTAGATCATCACATATGTGTATATATTCTTTGTTACCTGTGATGGCGTGGGGATGCATGAGGCGCTTATCCATAGTGTATTACTCGCATGTGTTGACGACTGGCACGCCCACAGCCGGGCAAAGTAGACAGGAGCACCGTCACGGATGCCAAGCAGTTAACGGGCGCAGACAGGGACGGTCGCAAACAGTATTTAGTGCAGGCTATGTTTAGAATACTTTCAACACACTGTAACAAAGTGCTGTAAATTTACGGTGCATTTCTAACGGTATCTTACAGTATGTCATAATAACTGTAACATACAGTTAAATTTCCGTCCCTTGCTTGTAAATTAACGGCCAATGTCATGAATAAACAGTTAAAGCTGTCAATTTACAATAATAGCAGGCTACCGTAATTCAACTGCATGTTACATATATTTTATGAAGTGGTGGAAATACACATACAAGTGCAGTGAATCACAATCCATCTACATCTGTTGTAGGTAATGTGTGGAAGCCCATGTCAGCCACTGAAAAACAGGTCATGTAAGTCATCATAATGAGATAGTATCTCATGAGATATGATGATGACTTTGACCTACAGGACACTACTATACATGCAGCTGTCACTTTTATCCAAAAAGCCCATGGTTTGACATCATTTTATGTGGAGTAATTGGGGCTTAGGTGTCTTGCTCAGGGACACTTCAACTTGCCACAGGGAGCAGCCAGGATTCAAACCACCAACCTCACCCTCCCTATCCCATGCGCCGCCTTCACTGTCGTTTCAGTGGCCGGAATGTAAAGATTATAAAAGACGTGTAGTCTCAGTTCATCCAGAACACCTGTGCAGTTCAACATCGGAGGAGTTGCTCATTGCCTCGTCTCTCCAAGTAACGTTGGTAAGTGCTATTTGCCTAGCATGATTAACATTCTCTTTCCTTACATCTTGTTGTCTTCCTCAACTTTGTAATTTTAATATTTTACCAATGACAGTGTTTCAAAATATTTTATTTTGGTTTGTTTTACAGAGGCACTGGATTAAGGACGCCAGCCGTTTGCTGCGGTCAATTGAAAGTGTTCCATAGCGTATTGTTGCAGCTAGTTTACATTGTTCCCAATGATTTTATGATTCATTTTTTTATTATTGTATACATGCGGCATATTTTATGTTTTGATCTTGGTTACAAATGCCAAACATTTTTGTCTTAAAGGCATCTAATAAACTCCAACCACTATGACCGAAAGGAGGTTGGTTGTCTTTCTTTAATTTGTGGGGAATTAAATGCAAAAGTATACGGTTATAAGTAAACGTTAACATTTTGGTATTTATAACACAAAAACAGTAATCGTATGGTAAGAAACTGTAATCCAATATACGACAACATACCGTAAATTACGGTAGGGCACTGTAAACAAAACAGTAAGTTACTAGCGTCGACTGCCAGTAAATTGCAGTTAATTCACAGCAAAGTTTACGGTAACATACAGTAATCCATTTTACGGTAACATAGTGTAAAACCATTTACGGTATTATACCATAAAATAACGGTAAATTCCTGGCGTCCTTGCTGCCAGTAAAATACCGTTAATTTGCGGAGAAATTTTTTAGAGTGCATTGGTATGCCATTCCTATCGCCCGAAGTTGGCTGAGATGGACTCCAGCCCCCCCGCGACCCTGTGTGCAGGATAAGCGGTTTGACAATGGATGGATGGATGGATGGATGGTATGCCATTCCAGATCAAGGGAGTTGTTTTTTTTTTCCAATGAGGTCTGGCTCCTTTGTGGAGAGCATTTATGGATAGAAAGCCCTCAGTACACGTTTTACCCGCTCGCCCTCATCCACAGCTGTTCATGGCTTTGCCTCCCTGTGGTAACTCTTTCTCCAAGCTTGGGGCGTGATGTAATCAGATTTAACGGACGCAAACCTTGTTCAACCATATTTCAAAACCTCCAAACTATCCTCTTAAAGGTCCTACTGAAGAGTCATTTATTTAACCTTTAGTTAAAAATTAACATATATTGCGGCTGGCTGTGTGGGCTTCCTATATTTTGAACATTTCTTAATCTGTTCATGCACAACAGTAATAAATAGAGAGGCATTTACATGATAATAGTGTATGGAGGAGATATGTGATTAAACCAAAAAGTGTTAACTTATTGTGGGTGGGTCTTACCAGAGCTCCAGGAGGACCATCCTGTCCCCTGTTACCAAAATCACCTTGAAATCCCTAAAATGAGACAAAAAAAAGTTTTTTCGGGGATGAAATATAGGATTCTTGATATTATAAAATTATGCCATTATCCTAGTGAGACGTTCACAAACCAATACTTGAAATGGAACAACTAATATCGTCATATTTAAATTATAAACGAAACTCAACATTATTTATATAATTCTGATCACCTTTAGGCCTTTGGGTCCAGTAACTCCAGGAAGTCCAAGCAATCCCTTCACAAAATGTTTACATGTATCAAACACACGGCCTCTTTAACATTGATAACAGCAGCAATTTCAGAGAAACAACCGTGAATTGCATGAACCCTTGAGTGCTTTTTGGATGGACAGAGAAGATACTTTTAAATAGAAAAATGAACAATTCATATTTAGTTTATCAGATGATTAGGAATAATTTGATCATAAAAGATGTTTTAATAGACTACAATCTACAAATATAATAATAAATATACCATAAGCAGCCTTAAATTATGATAGTAATTATGGGTTTGTTAAGTAAATATATTACTTTGTCAAAACTGTCAATGAAACATATCTAATCGCAAGTAGGAAGTAAAAATGTATCTTTGAACTGTCAGGACAGAATAAAAAGTTTTGCCACGTAGGAACCTTTATACCAGGTTGTCCTTCACGTCCTCCCTCTCCAGATTTTCCCATCTCTCCCTAGAAGCAGAAAACAACCACATCAGTAGTGTGAACAGTACAGTGTGCAACATCTTGAATGAACTTCATCACTCAATCCTATACTCACAATTGGACCTGGCAATCCAGAAAACCCTGCTCGACCCTCTCGACCCTATATTATCATAATTGTTTAGGATGTACACATCAGGATAAGGATATGATGATTTTTCCACCATCAATTAATAAATAGTGTGCATCTTGGTCCTACCTTGTCGCCCCGAGGTCCAGGAATTCCTGGAATGTCATTTGGCCCACGATCTCCCTTGAAAAATAATACTTGTATGTGAATGTATCCGACCACACATAGATAAAAACACTTAATTGTTCTTTCTACTTTCTCAAAACCCACCTTCAGTCCATCTTTTCCCTGCTTCCCTGGCTCCCCCATGATGCCGTCAAAGCCCTGCAACCATAAAGGTGGGTGTAAAATGGTGTCTATACAGTATGTCCTCACTCATCACCTTTGTTTCACTCACACTGGGTCCAGGAAGTCCCGGTGGCCCTGCTGGTCCCCCGAGTCCCTCGAATCCCGAAGGGCCTCGCCGCCCCATCAGTCCTTGTTTTCCTTGTTTTCCTGGAGGTCCCTGAGCAGAAAGACATTAAACTGAGCTACTGATCTGCCAACAAAAGGATCAACAATCAACAGGATCTCACCAGGTCTCCCATGAACCCTGGATTACCCTTGTCCCCTCGCCTGGCTTTGGTCCCCTGGGAGACAAAAGCGCACCTGCACTTTTAGCACAGCCACTAGGACCCCAAATGGCCGTTTGAGTTTAACTTGATGAGATTAAGGTCATTACATATGGCCACAAGTCATAATTGAGGTAAGATTGCTTTTAATAATCTTACGTGATCACCTGAGGGTCCAGGCTTTCCTGGGTTCCCATTGGCTCTCTGAAATTAGAAAGAAGGAAACACATGGACATCACTACAACCATCTGAGTTCTTATTCTCTTCCAAATGAATTGGTTTGCTTGTGCAGAAGGCTTGGATGACCACTCCTGAAGTCAGGAGTTCGGGTCCCCAATGTCCCCTTCATCTCCTGGATTGCCCTATTGACACAACAAAGGGACTTTAAAACGACGCCGGCGGTCCAATGATGAATCGTTGCTGGGTTGTTTTTCCCTGAAGTGTACTCACAGGGTCTCCTTTAGGACCTGGAGGTCCATCTGGTCCTGGATTGCCCTGTGAGAAAGACAAAATCATCATCATCATCAGTCTTCTTCATGTTGCATGAAAGCAAAGCATTTCATTAGTCTTTCTTTGTAAAGGAGGAACTTCTTTTTTCATGTACAACTTTAACATTTGGTCTCATGCCTTTTCCGGTTGAAATGCATCAAAGGGTTGTACCTGAGGGCCACGGACACCGGGAGAAGAGACTGCTCCATCAGGACCATGCTCGCCCTGGTGGAGCAACACACACACACACACACACACAGACACACACACACACACACACACACACACACACACACACACACACACACACACACACACACACACACACACACACACACACACAATATATTTACAGGTTAAAATTTTATTTAAGTAAATGCTACCAGCTTGTAATTATTTCATCTCTGTGAGAAGGAGTACATCTGTAAGTGTCTCTTCACCTGTGGTCCAGCTGCTCCTCTTGGGCCCAGTTCACCTTGATGACCCTGGTGGCGTTAACTATTGTTACAATGAATGTTTATTGGTGAAATTGGATTATAACCTCATCCACTTGCATTCTTACCGGAGGTCCGTTAACTCCAAGGACACCTTTTAATCCCCATGGACCCATTTTACCCTGAGCAGCACATAATAAATGCCCATCATATCTCATTATTTAATCCACCATCTTTGTTTTATTAATTTATTGAAGACATTGCAATAAAATATTGTGCTAATAAAACTTACAGGTGGACCTGGTCGTCCACCAAAGCCTTCAGATCCAATCTCTCCCTGAAAAATAATCATCAGTCACATTATAAGGAAACATGTAATTATTGTTATTTATATTCTATTTTCTAAACATCTGTATTATACTGACCGTAAATCCTGATAATCCTGGAAAACCAGGAGGACCCCTTGCTCCCGGCAGCCCCTGTAAACAAAGGACAGCTCAGATTTTGCAATGAAAATGAAAATGCACTTAATGACAATAATGACCGGAAAACGGAAGGGGCTGTAATTAAACCGTAAACCTAAAAATAGTTTCTTACTGTGTAGCCAGGGACACCAATGATGCCTCTGAATCCATTATTTCCCTGTTAACAACAGACGGACCAATCAGAAATTCTGAGAAACACTCCGCCACTCTGAAAATAGTGTGTGTCTGTAGTGGGAATTTGACTTTTTCACTTTTTTGTCCTCTGAGTCGCTGCAATCCAAGCCTCCCCATGATATCCCTAAAGACAGAGAAATGACACCTTCACAAAAGGATACCACACCCTCTGTAATAGCCCAGTGTTTTCAATTTGATAAATGGAGCTTGTGCTACTAAAATAGTGCGAGGCTAAATGCAACAATACTGATAGATAGTTAAACAATTACATTTGGTGCCTTCAAAATTTCAGTCCCCAAAACATTAAAAGTCCAGGCCACTCTTACCCACTCACCCAGCTCCCCTTTGCAGCCCTTCTCTCCTCTGTAGCCTTGGGGACCCTTTGGGGGGCAAGCAGGGGAACGTGAAGGACGTTATGTATAACATAAATAACCACCAAAATACACATGCATTTAAAATGTTTCTTAGCAGATTTACCTGTTCACCAGGTAAGCCTGGAGGGCCCGGATCGGCGTTCTGTCCTGGGAGGCCTTCTGGCCCGGGTGGGCCCTCGGGGCCCGGCATACCTTGTGGTCCGGGATTGCCCTAAAGTACACAAACGCAAGATGTAAAGCAACTTGCTTGGTCTCATGAGAACTACTGTTGTGGAAAAAACAGACATAATATGATTTCTTATTCGTGATACAAATCAGTGATGAGGTCGTTCATTGAATGGTATTTTACCATAGTATAGTTTTTTTTTTAAATGATGCTGTTAAAAACATATTGAGTGTGTGCGTTGGGACATTAGAGCATACGTCGTAGAGAAAATGCATGTCCACGTGATTCTGCATTTATCTGGAGAGATGCAAATAGAGTAGAGGTACCTACGATTTCCCCTTGAACTCCTTTATGTCCTTGTTTCCCAGTAATTCCGGGTGGCCCCTGGAAAAACAAAAGTAGCCACAAAGAGGGCTTTAAAGATCCCTCAATGTTTGGTGTTTTCACGGTGTCATCATAAAAAAATAAACCTGCACTGCCTTGGCTTTTTTCAAGTACCATTTCTATCTACTTACAATTGGGCCGTCATCTCCAAGAGGTCCAGGTGGCCCCGGAGGCCCCCAACGTTTCTGAAGATAAGAAGCCAGTCAAAACATATCCTCATGGTATGGGGGTTTCTTTTTGAAACAAGATTTCATTTACAATGAAAATTTAAAAAAACATATATAATACATTTTCTATCGAAAGAAATTGGAAAAACACCCACCGGCCATGAAGAAACCAACTTTTTATAGATCTTCTTTTTCTGCAATGATATGACAAAGACAAGACACTTTTTATATTTTACAAATTCTTTTGAAGGAATTATCCTCAAACCAATTTTCAGTGAATTCATCAAACTTCAAAACAACATAACACATTTCCTTATGAGCAAAACAATATGAACTAAACTTAAAATTGAAACCCGTTTGTACCTTGAAAGCCTCCCACTCTTCCTCAGAGGTTTTAAATACAACAATAGCAGGTATCCCTGGAGGACCAATGGGGCCCCGATACCCGGTGTGCCCGGTCCGGCCCATAACGCCTTGATAACCCTGAGGGGACAGAAACAATGTCTCTAGAACGGGTAAAACACAGAATGAGTCAAAATAACACTTTCTACACTTTGATCAATGTGAACGGTAATAGAAATCTTTCTTTGTCATTTGCAATTGATCATTCAAGGCTCAGATTTTGACCACTAGGGTGTAGGAGAATCCACAAAAAGCTGCCAAAAATGTGTTATCAACGTTACAGGTTGAAGTTATTGTATACTCCAAAAGTGTGCAGGTGTTGTAGCTGACTACATAAAAGGACACCACATCGTAACCACCATGTAACACTCCCCCAAGACACGTGCAGAGATACTCCTGGGGTACAAGTCACTTAACCGGGTGCAGCATTGTGCAGTATGTTTGACACACATCTTTTTAGCAACAGCAATTCAACTCAAATGACAGTTTGTTGATTCAAGGTGTGATTTGCATGTCGTACTTTGTCTCCTTTAGGCCCCGGTGGTCCTGAACGTCCGGGTGGACCCTGCAACCCCTGATGAAAGAGCGAGGAAGAACAGTCAGATGTGGACAAGCATTGCTGGCAAAAACAATAAAACCCATTAGGACTACAAGCTGTATAGAACGAGAACACTTAAACCAGAGCGTAAGATATCCGAATTCATCTGAATTCTGACTCATCAAATTTTTTTTTTTTTCTTATGGTACAAAACACTATACTCTTCAGTTGAGAATTCCAGACAGAAACACACACACACACACACACACACACACACACACACACACACACACACACACACACACACACACACACACACACACACACACACACACACAGATACTTGCATGTTTTTATAGGTGCTAGAAAGGACACGGATATATGTTACCATCTCAGACATCCAATTAGCTCCGCGCAAACTCAATTTCATCCAAGGTCATGACAGAAAATGAGATAAGAATATCACAGAAATGTGATTAAAATGTCTTGTGTAGTTTGTTTATAAATAATGTTATTAAAACTCAAAGTCACTGTGAATACGTTTAAAGTGTATCAAGAACAATAACGCCAAAAATGACTAAACGTGAAATGCAGCTTTGATTGTTGGTAATGATCATTTACACAGATACCACAAAATGTAAACAACGATTTACCCGTTGACTTTGTATCCCAGGTGTTAATCCCGCCCCCTGACGTCTGTCCGCGTATGCAGGCGGCTGATTGGCTGCTTCAACAGACCGCTGTGGGGATTCGGTCTCTGATTTGATTAAAGAGCCTTCAGCGCCGAACCGATCAGGAGTGGACTCGTCGTAAGCCTCAGAAAACGCCGTGTCATTATCATGACGTCTTCCCGAGTCGTCCTCCTCCTCTGAATGTGTCTCTGTCTCTGTCCCACTCACCTGCTCTTCACCTGGAAGCGCTCGTGATGATATTTCTGTCCTGGGTGAGACAGTTTGCGACCTGTCATGCATTTCATCTTTTTCTTTCATCGCGCCGGCTGAAACGTTGCCCATCTGCCCCTCCGTGTTCCTGGTACTTGGTGCTTCTCCGCTTTGGACTGTGGAGGTTAAAACAGTCGGGTTTGAAGCTGGACCTTTCTGAGGCGCTGTAAAGTTCTCCTTTAGATTTCCTCCTGTATGTCTTAAGAGTTCAGCAGCTGGATCTACTGAAACTGGATGTATAATGACGAGCGGCGGTGCCTCCTTTCTTCCCTCCTTTACGGATGAAGGGTACGCGATGGAAGTGACTGACCCAGGTTCTGTGACGGGACCTGAGACATGAGGAGATCTCGTAGCAGACTGTGGCCCATGAGGGAAAGCAATCTCCGGACTTGCTGTACTTGCAGCTTCTGATGAGACACCCTCAGGGTTCTCAGGTGGAACGTTAAGGCTTGAAAGGGCTGTGTCAGCACTTTCCTCGATCGCTTGATGAGCAGTTTCAAGTGTGTGTACTGAAGGAGCCTTGGCTGCGATGCTTCCTTCAGTGCTCAAAGGCTCCTCCATTGCTCCTAGTATGTCAAGGCGAGCATCAGGAAACTGCTCAGTTCCATTTCGAGACGTAGGCTGTGGTTCAACATCGGCACCTGGAGCCGTCGGTTTGTCCTTTTCTCCACCGGTCGAGTTTATAATCTGAGTGTCTGTGTCCGGCTGGGTTTCCGCTACAGCTTCGGCGTGCACAACCTCGACATCGGGATGTGTCCTCAGGGGGGAGGTATTGCTCACTGGTGTCCCCTCAGTGGGACCAGACTGTAGAGTTGTGTTTTTAGTTGCTCCGGGTGACACTCGGGTCTCCGGCCTAATGGTCACCTCGTTTATAGCAGCAATCTCCTGGGTGAAAGGGTTGAAATTGGGGAAAATATTACTCATCATGCAAAGCAGCAGAGATATGAAATACATTGTGGAATGTTTTGTAATTACCACGTCTTTTCAGCCCTATTGATTAATCCACTCACTCATTCTTCCTAATAAGACCTGTTCTAATAAGACTGTGTGGGTGTGTGCGAACTAACTTTTGTAATTGCTAAATCCCCGAACTGCCTGTTTATTTGCTTGTAGTTGAGTGAGCTCGGATAATTCCCAGCAAAGCTCCACCTGTTTCACGGTTTCACAAAGAGCGGCTGTGGCTGAGGTCAAAAACAAAACTGTCTAGTTGTCGTCGCACTAATCTGCCCTGGATTCTGGACAAGACTTTTTTTGTTTTAGTTGGAAATTGAGCGGAGACAGTGACAATACAAAAAGCTTTACCAAAAGCATAAATTGTCAATGCATTGCTAACCGTGCCAAAAAATTATGAGTCAGTTTTAATTATTAATTATTTTAATTATCAGTTAAAATCCGACACACACATTTCCCCCGGCCTCCAACACCAGTGGTCCCACTGTGCTTTGGTTAAAGCCTTTTCTATAAACAGGAAAAATATGAGTAATGGAGGGAAAACATGCAGATATCACCAAGCCGATTCTGAATCTTCTGACTGAATAACTACCAATATAATTTAGCCAGTAACTATATTGTGAAAAAAAGATGAAAACTAAATTGTAACTCCATGCATCACTGCTTTTGAGTTGTTAAGGGTTAAATTGATCTTTGTTCAGTTTCCCAAAGCGAAAAAGACATTTTCCACACAGTATTTTAAGAGATTTACTCTTTGATGTGAAAATCTTCTCCTGCCTTTCATCCTCTCACATGCACACGTAAGAAGCCCCCTGAACCCGACTCAGGAATATGCGAGCTAATATGCAGCATGTCCCTTCTTAAGAAACTCGTAGAGAAACTCAATCGCAGTGCCAACATTTACAGGAAAACGTTTAAACCTCATTACATGCCATCGAAAAGAAAACTGAAGATAAGACAGTCCATTATGATTTCTAAGCTCGTGAGAAGATGTGTTATATCTTTTCACACTGCGTTTCCAGAAAGCAAAAGAAAAAAGTGATTTAAAGACAACAATTCCAATAAATGTTGATGTAATAGAAATCAAGTTTTTCAAAGTTTTTCAAAGCTCTCTGATCACAAAAAAGCAAAAAATAAAGACGGCTAATCTTTAAGTTTATCAGATTTTTAACGTTTTGAATAGACAGTGAGGATGGAGAGACTTACGCCGCTGAGCAGCAGTATCAGCATCACAGCGCTCCGCATGGCTCCTGGTTAACGTCTCTCCTGGACTCCTCCGACAGCAGCTGCTCCGCACACTTAAGTTCAGGTGCTCAAAGGGAAAAGCACACACCTTCCCTGGAGGACGAGCCCGGCGCTGACCTGCACGTTTACAGCACATAGAAACAAACAGACCAACAACAGACGGACTACTTGGGTCACCCTGGTGAACTCTCATGCAATCATACACACACCTGCACACACAGACACACACGCACACACTAGCTCGCCTGCTTCCTGTGGCAACACAGCGCCAGACCGTTCGGTCACCACCACTTGGAACTCAGAAGGTTGGAACAGGAGTGTGAAGAGCAACAGACACTTATGTGTGTTGTCCACGGGGGACGCTCCTTTACAGTAGGTCTTTACAGTAGGTGTAGGTCCTTTGTTGTCGGGGCAGATTGATGGTGAAGGAAAAGGGAAAGACAACTGTCACTGAGCTGTGGATGAGGGACAAGCTCACCATCCTCATTCACCTCTTTTCATTCTAGTTTTATTCCTCTTCTTCAGCAGGAACACTTGCATTGTAGATTTGTATGTTGTATGTTGTATTCTTTGGAAGACACCATCTAAAAGGTCCCTTTTTTTCTCCAACTAATGACTGTGAGATGCTTAATTTGCTGTTGATCTTCACTTTGAACCCTCCCTCCTCGTCTTTTTTGGTTTTCCTGTCGGGAGGGGAGGAGTGTGGCCCAGGTGAGGAATGTGACACTGAGATCATAAGAGCGAGAAGCTGCTGCCCGGAGAGCGATGTGACGGGTGAGGTTGTGTCTTACGGTAAAGGGGTTTTGTGTGGTCAGGACGCAAACCGCCTCCCGGCAGCGTCGGGCCCAAATGTTTTTGGATTGGCCGTCCCGGGCCGAGGCGCAAGGGGACGCTGTCCTGTAGGCGGTCCAGATGCAGCTGCAGCCCGGACGGAGGGACGCAGAAGGAGAGGCGGGGCCCCAGTCCGTCCCACAGAAGAGCAGCAGCAGCACATCTGTGGGGCACATCTGTGAGAGGTTTACTGCAAACATGACCAGTGCACCATGGCACTGACGACAGTGAAGACTCTCAGCTCCGCCTCCTGCTGAGAAAGCCCCTCCCCTTCCTGCAACTCACCTGACCAACGTTGACCCAGACGCATCAGCACACTCTGCTCGTCTGGAAAACTGTCATGTAGACGTTAGCCCATTCACAAATACATGTACACATACAGAGCTCTCTCTCTGTCTCTCACACGCGCTCACAGGGCACGTTTGTTCTTTCACTCATTCACTGGACGTTGACGGACGTGAGATGAGAATATAGGTGTGTGTAGATTTTAAGTCCAAAGATGAGGTATCACAGAGGGACTGAAGACTGTTCTCACAGAGAGCCACTTCGCATGTGAATGCAAACTGTATCACAAAGCCGACAGATTCAGACGGCATTAAACAGCGTGTGTGTGTGTATGTGTGTGTGTGTAAACAGTCAAGGTCAAGTCTGACAGCAAAGCCTTCAGCTAAATCCTTTCATCCGACACATCATGGAAAGAAAAACCTTCCCTAGATAAACAGGTTAGCCGTCTCGCACGACCTTGTCAGCGCTGTGGAAATTAAAGATTAATCTGGAGCAAAACAAATTTGCAGTTGAGTTTTGCTTTACATGAACGTACAACACATAACTGTAATGATATAGGGTCTTTGTTAGAAAAGAAGGTTTTTATTCCCGCCAAGCCTGGTGAGATAAGATTGTGTGTGAGTTGTTAGAATAGTAGAGAAAAAGCATATAGTTTGGGTCAGTGTGAAGTGGAGGGCCGCCTTAGATAACACAACTTCCTGTTCCCGTATCAGTGAAACTTAACCCTATTTACCCACCAATGTCCCCTGTGAGGAAATCTGTTTTCCTGTGTTGAGCCTAATTAGTGTTACTTACAGATCTAGGGACAGTGTGGACGATGTGACATGCTGGACCCACTTGGTCATCTTCTGCATGTTCAACAGCGGTAACAGACCCACCTCTGCAAAAGCACTACAATTATTATTGATTACATTTATTAATGACTAATTTCTAACAAGATTCACACTTAAAGAATACTCGAAATTGATTTATTTGACTAAAGCAGGTATGTCAATGTCAGGCAACAAATTGGTCTATTGAGGCACATTTACTTGTAAGTTGTCTAAAATTTCCGTTGGCCTCGGAGATTAAAGGTATACCATGTTCTACCATATTTATTAACAAATCTCCAATAAAGGCAATAATTCTCCCAAAAGTATTTAAAAAAAAGAAAATATATATAATTTATAGGTAGCAATATCAGTCAGCACAGGGTTTGGGGTTCTTTCTTTTTTTAATAGTCGTTTAAACACGTATGGAAACACTTCTGTTGTTAAAGTTCTTGACAGGCATCATGATTCATATGAAATATAAAGGGCGCAATAAATGAAACATGGATTTATCTTCTACAGTTTATTCTAATTTATTGATTTACCAGAAAGCTTCTGTTATCTATTAAATCCAGGCTTGACAGGGACGTCTTTGTCAAGGTTACGTCCTCAGCTGCATGTTGATCACGGCCCTGTGAACTACAGACCGGAGCCTTAACATAACCTGCGTACTGTAAGAATCGAGCTTCGTAGTCGACAAAAGGTGGAATCTCTGCTTAAATACATATTTTTCAGTCCAGAACATCTTTATTGGGACTCCAGCAGGGGCGTGTGACGTTGTCTGGCTTCTGCACCCTCACTTCTCATAAGTCCTGCGTTCACATTTCCGGAACACGTCAAACTCAACATATTACAACAACACAACAGCAGGTGATATAAATACACATCTTATTTAAGGGGAACAGCAGATGATGAAAAGATGGAATGTCCAAAGATCTCGACAATGGAAGCAGGGACTGAAAAAAGATTATTATTCTGTCATTATTCTGTTGGTGAGGTGGTTTTAAATCACATTTAATATCATGGATACATACAAAATTAGAACAATCAGGCGGGCCTTAAACACATACCTCTTTCACCATGACCATGCATAAAAATCACAAGAACTCTAGAGCACAGAAAATACTATGATTGCTTGATTCTACTGATCGATGCATACACAATGTGACTGAAACAACATGGCAACTTAAAGACAAACCGTACTCTGCCTGTTGTTCCTTTTGTGTGTTAGCATCCATGTTGCATCACATGTTAAAAGGATATTGACGTTTTGTCATCACGTGGAGGAAGGCAACACATCCCGAAGAAGACACGCCCCTGGATCTTTGTACCGGAAGAAAATGGCTTTAGTCGCCTCTCTGACACCACGTGGGCGGAACATCCATTTTCCTTCATGCAGGCTGTCTGTCCTGCAGATGGTTGCACCTCAGGCTAAAGTTGTTATCGTCCATTCAGCAGATGCAGAATACTGATTCAGAGTGATGTCCCCTCTGGTCCAGTCTCATCATCTTGATATCATGACTGACCCGCAAAAGACACTTTTAGTCCTTCTGATCTTTAAACATCTTCACTTTTGGTCCAATGATTAAAAAAAATGTCAGAAGGTGATATTTTACAAAATCAGTGGTGCAGTATCTTGAGACCAGACATCTCGTACTCTGCAGCTCTTCAGAATCATTTTCACACCACAGAGTCAACACAAACGTACACTGTGCTGCTCCAGTTGAAGATACACCATCATTGTTTTCACATAAGGACAGTTTTTGATTCCCTGCATGGACTTTCTGTTGATTGGTGCCCTTGAACCTGGGGAATACTCTTGTTGTAAACAGGAACTATGTCGAAGTCGAAATTGTCAAATAATCCATAGATTGCTACTCTTACAACTAGGCACCATCGAGACTAACAGCAACCCTCTCAAATGACCTGAAAATAAGAAACAAAAGCTCAAATACATTCATTTTATTACATTTTTTTACATGCTACCTCTATGTTTGCCAACACAAAAAGCTTCAGTTTCTTGGATTCAAAGAGAGGTGTGAACATATTGGATTGATAACCCAAAGTATTTTGTTTTGAAAAAAAACAATTAAAACAGTAACTTTCGAGGGAAGGCTCTGCAACGCTTGGCTTTGCTGCTGCGATCTTGCACAGGCAGTCTCTCCTAAATTTGGCAGATTTTCACTATTGACAGCACACATGCACAAACACACTCTTGTGTCCACACAACATAGCCTCCCTCCAGCTACAACAAACACACACACACACACACACACACACACACACACACACACACACACACACACACACACACACACACACACACACACACACACACACACACACACACAATCCAACATGAGACCACATTGCAGACAGACACCCAAGTGTCTGGATTGATAGCAGTGGAGTTCAGTCCTGCCTGTTATGCTACTGGTACTGAGAATACAAGTTGTCACGGCCACAGAGGAGCAAGAGCCTCGTGCTTTGAGCATCTCCCTGCATCCTCTCTGCTTCTGGCTTTTAGCAGCGGTCATCCTCATCCGTGTCACTTAGCAGCTCGCTGGCCCCGGCTGCACCCGCTTGGCCCAGGTTCTTCCGGTAGAGCCCGTTGGGAAGCTGCCAGGAGTGTCTGAGCTGGGGGGCGGAGCTTATGGCGTTGGCCCGTCCCAGGCTGGTCGCAACGGCAGTCTCAAAAGTGAGGGTATCCTGCCCGTCGCCCGCCCCTCCAGCGCCGACGTCCCCGCGGAACGGTAGGTAGGGCTCGGAGATGTAGCGGTGAGGAGACGGGTGGCTTGGTCCTGAAACTTGACCCTCGGATGACCCCTGAACCGCAGTGAGGGGGCCACCCTCCCTGCCGGCGCTCCACGCGGTCGCCTTGGAGCCGCCAGGGCCATCCTGAGGCTGGGTCTGGTCCTCGGAGGGGGCAGCTGGTGCGGGAGAGTCGTGGGCTTGGCAGACCAGAGGGGAGTAGGAGATGTAAGGCCGCGGGCGAGACGGCGTTTGGGGCAGCTGGCGCCGGTTACGGGGAGTACCGGACTCTGGGGCCGAATGGGCCGGGCTGCCCGATGTGTTCACCTGCAAAACAACAGAAGCGTAATAATGCTGAGGGGCCCTTCTGCAGAGGAGTCCCGCTGGTTCTATTCTAGGTGGTTCACTGGGTGCAAAAGAATGCCCTTTATTTCAGTGTGCGATACAAACCAATGTCTGTCTCTGCAAGGTGTGTTTGCGCCCTTCGCTCGGTGAACGGGACCTCCTCCTTTCGCGTGATGGGTCGCGGCTGCGCTCCTCAGAGTTGCAGCGGGACACGTCAGGAGACAGCAGGTGGCGCCGTTCCTTAGATCGCCCTCTCTCATGACTGCTGGTCTCCTTGTGGTTAATTCGAGGACCTAAGGGGGGGTAGAGTTCAGTTAGTCAAATAAAAAAGGGAATTCCATA